ATATGATGTCTCACATATGTTGCAACATATGATCTCACGACTTTGTCAAAGCACTAACATGAAAATTTATAACATGCGACCTCGGGAACATATTGAGATGTGAGTAGTATGAGAATTTGTAGCATAAAGTGAACCAACAATAAACAAACAAGTCAATCAATTTAAGACAAGTTGTGTGAATAAAAGCATCTATGGTAAAACAAAATGACGAAGACTTTTTTGCTCCTATTTGAAGGTTATTAAAGGACCTTCAAAGCATAAAAGAAGAGATCAATAATTAGAGGAAGTATTTCTTTGTGATTCTTTTTTTTACTGCCCAAAATTGTTCTTTGCATTTACCATAAAAAAAATTTATAACCTTTTGCATTTCATGAAATTTTTATCAACAATTTTTGATTATCTTTATAAACTTTCTTCGATCAATATAACTTCTAAATCATTATATAACTTATCTCAAAGTCTTATATTTAACAATATCACTTAAAACTTATCTATATTTTTTTATTTTAAGAAATTAATAAAAATAATAATTAAATTATAAATATAATCTTTATTATTTTTACGGTGTAAATCCTAAATCCTAAATTTATAATTTCTTTATTAAATAAATAATGTTTTTTTCAATCTCAATGCATAATATGTCATTATAAATTCTAATAAGTTTCAACTAATACTAATAAATAATTTATAAAAAAAAGTATATTTGCAGGATTTCTCCAAGTTAATATTAGCACAAACCAAAAGAAAACATGAATAAAGAAGTGATGAATCTAATAGTGAATGATGTAGAAAAGTAGAGAGTGAGATGGGATAAAAATTAGAAGGGTGGAAAATGGAAATATAAGCGGGGTGAGGGTGATGGTAATGAAAGGTGTATTTAAGTAAAATATTATTATGGGATGGATATTTGGAGTGAGTGGGTGTGGTGTTCCGGAGAAGTTGGAATGGCAGCGGTGAGTGTGAGTCCTTGTGCTACTGTGCTTGGGATTCGGAAGAAGCGAATGAGAGTTAATGCCCTGTTTGGCGATTGGGGAATTAGGAAAAAGCAAGAATTGAGGTTGAGTGTGTGGGATGATAAAGAGGTAAGTGTGTCGGTTGTGTCTTCCATCTCAGACATTCCATCGAGCGAATGGGACGCCTGTGCTGTGGATGCCACCGGCGCTGACAAGTTGAATCCTTTCCTTTGCCATGCCTTCTTGTCAACCTTAGAGCACTCTGCTTCCGCCGTCAGGGAAACTGGATGGACTCCACACCACATCGTTGCCAGAGATCAACCCAACAACAACATCCTAGCCGTTGTCCCTCTCTACCTTAAAACCCATTCCTACGGTGAATTTGTCTTCGATCATTCTTGGGCTAATGCCTATCATTCCTATGGCTACAGATATTACCCCAAGCTACAATCTTGTGTCCCCTTCACGCCTGTCACCGGTCCAAGGATCTTACTTCGCAACACCCCTTTCAAAGATCAAATCTTTGACGCTATTGTCTCTTCAATGAAGGATCTCACTCTCACCGTAATCCACTCCATTACCTACCTTCTTATTTTACTTTCTTCTTATTAAAATTAAATGCATTTACTAACTTTCTGCTGCTCCCAGTCCCACCTTTCGTCGCTACATGTCACTTTTCCCTCTGAAAATGAATTCCAAAAACTCACTCAAAAAGGCTTCCTTCCCAGAATTGGAATGCAGTATCACTGGAAAAACCGTAACTACAAAAAGTGAGTGATCCATTTAAAATGTCATCGAGTTATCATGTGTGATTCTGTTCTGTGAAGGGACATGTCTTGTTAATCCTTAACATTAGTCAATTCATTTTTTTTTCCTTTTTTATGTTGCCAGTTTTGATGACTTCTTGATGGACATGAAGCAGAGTAAAAGAAAAAATATACGTCAAGAGCGCAAAAAGGTTGGTATTCGTTAAAATAAATTATCCATGTGTGCACCTTCAGAGAATTATATTATCTCTTTATCTGTAGATCCCAGCCCAGAACTTGATTATGAAACGGCTCCGTGGTTATGAAATAAAGGTACTTTACATCATGTCTATATTTAAAAGGTTGCATTTACTCTATCTACTTTTGAATATTTAAGTGCATAATATTTACAGAGGATGCTTTGTTGCAAATTGATGCAGTACTTGACTATATAAGTTTGGGCGTCATTCTGTGCCAGATCTTATGATCTTTTATTGAAATGACTGAGGCCAATTGATGTCATCTGGTAATAGGATGGAATTGGAAAACGTGTGAAATCATCATAGTTTTCTATCCTACCTAAAGAGGAGAAGAAAAATTTACATTGGGAAGGATATTAAAATCAATTTACACTTTTTTCCCACACTGTAGCGTTTTCTAAGATGATAGTAACATATTTGCTATCAATTAGTGCTGAACTAAACTTGCAGCTTACACTCACCAATTTGAAGGCGTGTGCAGATAGACTTTAGGGTTTGAAATGACGCAAATGATCCCCTAAACTTCACATTATGTGGAAAAAAAATCCTTTGTTAGTCAAACCATTAAATATTTGAATGACATTGTCTCATAACACCAAAACAATCGGTGAGGAAATTACAAATGTTATCTGGAATATCCAAGTATTCATTAAAACTGCTTTAATCATACTGCTTTTAGTGCCTTTATATCATGTAGGTAAAATTAAGATGGTTTGGAAGATATGTTCATCAGAGCACTCTCTCTGACTAAAATGCTCTTACTCTACACATTTGACAGCAGTTCAAATTTGGTGTGCATTTTAATATATCCTTGTGATGATTATATACTTTTGTGCATCCTTGAAGATATTCCAATGGCGTACTTCATTAGGTTGCGATTCTTTCTACTTGCTATTTTTCATGTTTTGTTTTGTATTGGAAGGCTAGGCACTGGGATTCCTTCTACACTTTTTACAGGAACACAACTGATAACAAGTATGTTACCCTAATTGAACCTTCAAGTTTTGGTTTAGAAAATATATATTTGATGACGCGGGAATGGTTGAAGTGTCAATATTTAGTAATTTTGTTGGTCTATTGGTAGATGGGGTACTCCTCACCTGACAAGGGAATTTTTTCATGAGATGGGATCAAAAATGGGAGATAACGTGCTACTTGTTGTGGCTGAAGAAGGGGATGAACTAGTTGCTGGAGCCCTAAACCTTATTGGAGGAGATACTTTATTTGGGCGACTATGGGGTTGTCAACCACGAACTTACTTCCCAAGTCTGCATTTTGAAGCATGTTATTACCAGGTACTTCTCATTTTTTTCCCTCAATTATTATAAGATGATTATTTCTATTTTTGCTAGGTTTTAATTTTATGGTTGGGGAATAATGCTGTAGTTTTCAATCAGACGTTCCTCCATTGCATCTTTTTAAGGAATAGACTTCCCTTTTTGATTCCTAGTGATTGTCAGCTTATAATTTTTTTTCTCACTCCTCCACCTATTGTTTGGTTGAAAGGAGCTTTTACCCTCTTCTTTCAACTTGTTTATGAGTTCTAACTTTTCCACCCTTCGCCATTTTTTGTTTATCAATTCCCTCCCCCCACCCACCCCTTTTTCACTTTCATTTTGTTATATTGGCTTCAGTGTTTATGAAAGTTTCAGGAACATGAAAATGCTTTATTTTTCTTTTTTGATTTGATTTAGGAGGATATCTTTTACTTTTCATTTTTGGACTACAATATAGTTTTTTCTTTTATCAAGAGAAGAAAAACTATAATTATACTCGATCTTTCTGTCATTATGTGTGCATATAACTCAGATGTAGTATATCAGGGAAACAAAAAATATATTTACTCTTTGTTTTGACATCACAGGCAATTGAAGCAGCTATAGAACTGAATCTTAAAACAGTAGAGGCGGGAGCTCAGGGTGAACACAAGATTCAACGTGGATATCTTCCTGTGACAACTTTTAGCTGTCATTACCTTGTTGATGAAGAATTTAGGGAAGCTATACAAGAATTTTTAATACGTGAAGCTTCCCAGGTATGATGAATTGTCAGTGAAAGTAATTTCTTTGAAGTTAGTATTGAAGAAATGCAACGAAAAATTATATTTTGATCATTATTTTTGTTTACTCTTGTTTTGGTATTACCAATATATATCTTTGCATGACATGTTATGATTGTAAAATACTTTTAGTTTACACTTTCTCCTATTAAGATTTCTACTCAAACATTAAAGCCGTGGCGGGATAATGTTGTATGCGAGTATTAGGATGATTCTTGTAAAGAAAAAGGATGTAGTTAGAAGTTAGAGGCATATCCAGTGCGCGCAGACTCGTGTTACCCTTATACAAAGTTTCTTGATAATTGCATTCACCAAAACAACAACCCTCCACTTAGCCAAGAATCATAAAAATGCTATTTTGGTTCTTCATGTGTTTGAAACTAATTTACTTACCGTGACTTTTTGCCTCTACAGGTGAAGCTTGTTATGAAACTCTTGCAAGATTCCGGTCCTTTTAAGGAAGGTATCCTGTAGAAAGTAAATCTATGGGCAGTGTTTGTAAATACGCATATGATTTGAGTATAAGAATATATATGTACAGTTGAAGTAGTGAATTGCTACAAAGTTGGAGAGTAATTCCCTTTCCCTAGTAGTGGTTGATATATATTTATGATTTAGTTGTTTAAGTCACTTTTAGTAAAATGGGCATTTCTTGAGAATATGTTTAAAAAATGTAATGAACGACATGAGTAATAGGTCAATTAAAAACCAAAATGAAGGAACATATTGGATGGTGTTGAGGTGCAGCAATCCTTTGTACTGGATCAGACGGTGAGAGAAGAGCCATTGTCTGCGGGGGTGAGATTGAGAATCATGGTTGCTGCTTTGAGAGCCCATGCCTGAGGAGTTTGATAGAGAGAAGCAGATGCGCCAAAGCAAGAGGAGAGCATGTCGGTGTTGATTACGCCGGGATTGAGCGCCACCACCGCCATCCCTTCGGGCAGCTCTTTTGCGACGGCCTTGCTCAGCCCTTCTATTGCCCACTTGGAAGCACAGTAGGGAGCCACCAGCGCCGCACCCGACCTTCCCCATCCGGAAGACATGTTGACTATTATGGCTTCCACCTTCTTGGCCGTTATCATCAGAGGAATGAAGTGCCGCAACACATTCGCCGTCCCTTTGACGTTGGTATCCATCACGGCCTCGAACTCTTCCGCCGGAACCTCCCATATCTTGTTGTTCTTGTTGATGGTACCTGCATTATTCACTGCAGTGCACCATCCCTCTCTCAATTCACTAATTCACTAATTTCTGATGTCATTAGGGTTGGGCTACGTACGTACCTATAATGTCAGGAACAGTCTTGTTGTCCATGACGAGTCGGGCCATCTCTTCCACGCTCTCATTGGACCGCTGAAATAACACAAAATGGAGTGTGATTGTGAGAAAGAGAAAGGAAGGAAAAAGAGAAGGAGGTCGAGAACGAGAACGAGAACGAACAACGTCGGCATTGAGGAACAAGTGGTTTTTGGAAGAAGAGGAGGAGAGTTGGGATTGGAGGGAATTGAGGTTATCCTGAGAACGGGAACAGCCGATTATGGTATGACCTCGATTGGCCAATTCAAGGGCCAGGGCTCTTCCAAGCCCTTTCCCGACTCCTGTTATCAGCACCGTTCGACTTCCACCTCCGCTTATCCCCTTCATCTTCTTCCTTTTTCCTTTTTCCTTTTTCCCCTTATCCCTCAAACCCCACTCACTACTCACTACTCACTACTCACTACTTATTACATTCCCTCCCTTCATTAAATTATTTTCTCTTTTCTCTCCCATCATTTTTCTTTTAATATTACGTCAATTTTTAATAATTAAGATTTTTGTGAATTTTATAATTATTTGTATATTAAAAATATAATAATTTAAAATTAATGTATTTAATATTTTATGTTTTCGTCACTTTTTTAAAAAATTAATGTTATTATATTATTATATAATTATATAATCAATATAATTTTAATTATAAAATTTGTTAAGATTTCGTTTAGTGACCTTTAAATTTCTTTTTCTCCACCAACATAATTCAGTGTTTCAAAATTGACTAATCTACACGTCTGAACGTCATGAAACTTTCATTTGCCAAACATTGTGACTTTTAAAATGAGAATCTAATTAAAACATTCTAAAAAGATATTAAAAAAAGTTATTATCTAATCATAAATTTAAATAAATTCTAATTCATTGACCACATGAAATTTTAACTCAAATTTATCTTTCATATTTAATTGTGGGTCATATTTTAAAAAGAACTGCCTCCAAAGAAAAATGTGAAAAGATTTTTTAAAAAAAAATCTTAACGTAATCATATAACAATTTAAGATATGTAAATATTAACAAAAGTCATAATTTCCTTTTCCATTATTCAACATCCAGCCAATCGTGAGTTACAAATATAGTAAATATAAAAACTAAAAACACTCCAAGACCAAATTGTTATAACTGTCGATGGGAGAAGGGAGGAGGGTTATGCCTCGTACATACATCAGTATTCAAAGATTATAAATATAAATACTTATATACAAAAATGGCATGCATCACATTGAGTGAATTACAAAAGAACACCCACCCCTCCAAAAAAAATCATATATCATGCCATGCATGGCATGATAATTGAGAGTAAAGACACATACAGATATGTTGGTGCCCGCGCACCAACAGAAACCGAATGAGCATGGACCACTAACTCCCAAGCTGTAGAAGAAATAGAAAAACCACGATATCCGAAAGCACACCTTTCATTCCAGGCAAGATCAAACAGCAGTATCTCAAAGACTCAAACACAACCCTCAGCATCAATGTTTGCTGTCTGTCAAAAGATGATGATGCCATGAAAGCCTAGCTGCAAAATACTCAAGTGGTATGCTCCTATTGGCCATTTTGAAGTGCTGACCAAGTTCATTTTCGCTTCTCCCCTTGTTCTACTTCCATATCAGATTTATTGCATATACAACAACTGGGATACACTGGAATTTGAGGGACTTCTAGCAACTGGGTCCCACAATAGACGACTGGTCCTCAGGATTGACGATTGCTTCAGAATCCAGCTTGCTTGGCTTATCTTTTTCATTGATCGGAAGTCCTATTTTGGGCGAAAGCTTCTTCACCTCCTCTGCAGTGTAGATGAAAATTTTCCTCACAACAGTACAGAACTCACTGCAATAAAGTAGCAAGAATTTAATATCCCACAAACATGAAAATGTCCAAGCCGAGAAAATGTTTACTTTAAATGAACTTACTTCCATGGATCATCTCCAACCATCATCATGTCATCTTCATTATCAGTGTAGACAACCTGCCATTTTTTTTGGGACCCACAAAGCTCAGCCTTGATGTCAAACATCTCTTCCAATTTCCTGAGCAGATCCTCATATCCATCAAATCGTGTTAAATCCACAGCCCTCCCAACAGCCATTCCTTGCATGTGAACCTAGAAAAATACTAAATTACATCATAAATAACCTCTGTACTCTAAGCTGGCACAATGAGGAGAAAATGCTATACCACCTTTATCAATATTACCTTGGTACAGCTCCTTATTTGCTTGCTTTGTGACTCCTGGGGAGACTGCAGGGATGATTTTTCAGCATCACAACTTACTGAAGGAATATCAGATCGATTGGCATTTGATGGTTCAGAATTCTGATCAGACTCGGCATCTAAAGTGACTGGTTGTAGACTTCCTTCTGCATTAGAATTCTCATGTATTTGAATCCCGAAGAGTCTACAACCATTTCCAGTGCCTTGTCTCTTCTCTCCAGCTTCTTTGAGGGCTATAGCTGAAATAGATTCCATGGAATTTTCCATCCTATTAGACCAATATATTGATTTGTTGGAAGGATGTCCCACAGAGCTATTCCCACTAAAACCAAGAAAGTTAGTTGCAGTAGAATTGAACTTGGGTGATGGATAGAGGCCACGTCCAAGTTGGGGGTCACAATAAGAGAAAGATGTAGATTCCATTATTGGTGATTTCCATACGCCTGGAGCACAAAGAAAAATGATTATGTAGAAAAACAATGAACAGCTATATTGACAAAAAGATAGTGTATGACCAACCCAGCAAACCCACCTTGCATAGAAGAATCAGCCATTGAAGAAGGTAGAATTAGAGGTCGTGCCCTCTTGTTTCTTTGAGTTGGCTGTGGGTTTGCAGGAGTGGTAGACAAAAGTGGCTCCAATTCCCATGAAGAAACTCTATCAGGACGCAAAATTGATGACGGTTCATCCCATTGCACCTGAAATAGAAATCATTATATGTAATAATATTACAGAAGCAAAAGCTGCTGTCTAATTCTTAACTTCTAGGTCATCAGGAGTATCAGCACATTCCCTGCTGTATTCATTTTTAAAACAAAACCTTCAGCTACTCTTTGGCAGCTAAATGAATATGGCAACTCTATTCCATACAGATAGAGTGTAACAAGCTTCATATCAATTCAATCTATCAGAGTCATATAAATCAACCATATAAATAATAGAACATACGTAAGCCAAAGTTATGTGATAAAAAATGTGGGAGCAAAATGTTTAATTGGTAAGCTGCCATTCATTGAATGGTCCACAAAGTTCAAAACGTATATATCAATAAGTGTTATATTAAGGGAGTGAGGAAACAATACTAGGCAAAATAACTTTAAAATTATAAAAGATTTTGTATACTTACCTTTAATGATCGCCAGTCAGAATCAGGCCAGACTGTTGATTTATTATCTCCAACACCCACTATTGTGCCACTGAACCTGCATTCAGGGGGAGATGATGTTTCAGATGGCATATATTGCTAATATCCAAATAACAACTTCAAGCTAACCAGCTCATGCACCTTCTTTCAGGAATTTCATCACCCTCAAATCTCATTTTGAATCTCATCCCAACAGAGAGCTTATGACTCTGAGCTTCTAGATACTTGTTGACACTCACAATAAACTCTGAGCGGCTTGTTCTAAGAAAAATATTGACAATTCAGCACTCAACTCAATAAAAAAAATAATAAATAAATAAATAAAAAGAGGATAAACTCAAATACCATCCCAATAAAAATATTTCAGCCAAAAAAAGTTCATTAATTGCAGAAAACAGGAGGGCACGTGTACAAAAATTGTGAAGTTAAAGGGATAAATAACAATATGACAACACAGTCAACACTAACATTGTGAACTAAAAATATTCAATATGAAAATAACTACAACTAAAAACTTCATATTGTTAAATACAAAACCTGGGCTTGTAAAACACAGAAAACAGTGTTCCAGTGGCAATGGCATGAGATGCAGTAGCCAGAACACCAAGATGCATGCTGTGACTAGATATAACTGAAGAAGGCACATTGCTTTGTTGTCTCATGAGCCTCCTAACCCCAACTCGCAGCTCTCCATTTTCACCCCTGGAAAAATGCATGTAACACAAACAAACCACAATAACTGAAAACATTAAGGAACAAAAGCAAAGGAGAAAAAGAAGCAAGTACTATTTCTTGCCCCAAGGGGAATGGAGACATAGTAGCCTCAGCTGTAAATCAACTTGCCTTAAGAATATAAAGGCATCACCAGCCACTAATTTTTTGGAGCTGACAAAGACACTCCACCCGGTGGTAAGCAAGTGGCGCCTAGGTTGCCCTGGAAATTACTCTGTTAATTAAGGAACTTATTGACAGTATAAACATCAAATCTAATATAATATTATACAGATATACAAGATAATTGTTGATTGCATTTGCATGAGAGTTCACAAATTTAAGAAAGCTACAAGGATTTACTTACAGAGCCCTTTTCTACAGAAAAAAATCACAATATATTTGGTTACAGCTTGCAAGCTGTACCTGAAGTAATGAGGATAATCACCTCAGAAAATTAAACAGCTTATGTGGTCATACATTAAAATGGATACTTGAACCACCCTAAAAGATTAAAATACATGGATAATATTTTTGTTGTCTTAGGGAGAAAACTTTGAGAAGATAAGTAGCTAACCACAAATTGATTACCTGAAAAGGTGATCAAATGATAAAAAGGAACCTAAACCTTTTCCAAGCAAAGATTCAGTACAAGCTGCAGAAGAACAGTCACAAAATATGTTTCACTTAGAAACGATTGCCACAGAATGGTGCTTGTTTAGCTAGAAGATCGTTTTGCGAATGATAATACTAAAATATCCTTATGATATATCATGGAATCAATTAGTCCACTAATTGAGGAAGCAATCTAAGGAATTGTTTCCTGATTTTGTTATATTTCCTAATTTTATTATTTTTCCTTATTTATTTTTGTTAAAATGTCCTACATTAGCTAGGAATATGGCCAGAATATTCCTTGTAAGACTTGGGCAATTCTCCTCCCTTGAAGGAGCTTTTTTTCAGATTAATTTAAGCCCAATCTATTTCTAATATAACATCAAAGCTTGTTCACTCTTAATGTTGGATCACTTGGTAATGTCCAAACCTACAAATGTCATCCTCCCAGTCCTGGGCATGAGAGGCATGTTATGATGCCCCATAATTGCTAGGAATATATGCAATCCTGCTCCCTAGAACTATCTTTTGGGCGTTAGACCCAATTCATTTCTACTAATGTTCTTATTTAATTAGGGCTAATACACTCTTACTTGTATTAGTGGACTTGGCATATTACCAGACACTACTTTGTATCAATAAGACTACTGTGCCAGATTATGAGTATTGTGTATCACATCATATAAATCCAATCTCACATTATTCAGAGTATTATTTCTCTCCTTTCCTGCTACTCACCCTATAAGTATAACTTACAAAACCAATAGCTAATAATAAAACAAATAAATTAAAAATCTAGCCTACTGTATCTTCAAGGGCAGCATATCAATCGGCAAAAATATGTAATGCTCCAAATTGAACAGCAGCAGACAGATCAACTAAACCTTCATCAATACAATTGTTTTTATCAAGCAGACACTAGAAATTAGTTGCACTCTGTAAAAGGTTCATTGTTCACATGATAAAACAGGCTGAAAGAGAGGAGGAAGAGAAACAAATTAACCAAACTACTAACCTCGAAAAATATGTCTAAAATGCCATTCATTCCCATGTAAATCAGTTGCAACCAATTCTTGCCATGGTGGCTGCTGAGACATATCCTGAAGGAATATGGGAATTATAAGTTAAGGACAGCTAAATAGAGAAAGATCGAGTGTCTCTATGGGCCTTCTAAAAAGAGGAAAGAGTCTAACCAGTGGAGGCAGACAATCGTCTGCATGTCTACGAAGAACAGAGAAACCTCCATGGGTACTGGTGTCAGAAGCAGTAAGTGTCTTGCAAAACGAATGGACCTTGACCCTCGGAGATTCAGGCAGAGGATCATCTGGGCTGGTCACCTCACTTTGCTAAAACAGCAAGGCAGGGAAAAATAAGACATACACAACATGAGAAAGAGAAACCAAATGGGAAAAAAACAGTTATGACTGGAAAAGAGTTTGAGACAAATTGAGAGTAGAAAATGTTTAGATACATAAATCATGTAAAATAAAGAACAAAAGTATACTCACATCTGCTTCAGGAAGCAAAGTTATCTGTGCATATACTTCATCTGTTTCAGGTTCAGCCTACACCACCAAGATAAATTTAACAATTAAATGATTATCCATGTATTGTAAATCATGACAAACTTTCACACAAGTTATTGGAAAAAGAAGAGTATCCAATAAGCTTGTCAAGAAAATTTAGAACTCACCCGAAGATGAACATTGACCACTTTACACAATATTTTGGAAGGCAGATTGAAGGAAGGCATCTGCTGCTCTAATCCCTCATACATAGATGCCACAAGCTATAAAATAGAAAAACAAGACAGCAGAAGAACATAAACGTTACCATAAAAATGTATAATAAAGAAGCATATAATTGAAATAAAAATCTCAGAAATTATGGATCAAAATTATTTCAACATAATAAAGTTAAAATGATACCATCAAGGAAGCTAGTACACTGCAATGTAAGAAAAGGGGGATGAAGAGCCTATTTGTGGCAAAATCGTTAAAAAAAAAATATATATATATATATATATATCAAGGCATTTCTTTTCTCTCATCAGACCCCTCCCACGTTCTTTTCTCCCTTTTCTTTCATTCATGCACCCTTTTTTTTCAACAAAGCAACCAAATCTCACCCATAAAGAGCAAACTATTGAGTAAATTGAAACTTTAAAGTTTCAAGTGCTGCCTCTCACTTTTGGAGGATGATTTTGAGAAAACTTTCAAGTTAGGATTGCCCTATGAAGACAGTGAATGCTATCTTGAAAGTTGCTTAATTGGCTGAGGTAAACTCAACCCAAAAACATGGGTAATAAATTGTATTAGTACAACTTCATACTGGGTAGGTTGGATGGTGAATTTAGGCATTGCCATTTAAAACTTTGGGAAAGACACAATTGAAAATCTATCTTTGAAAATCTACCTTTTAGGTGATATTACAGATTTGTGTTTTATTGGTATTTATATGGTTAATTGGTTATACTATTGAACAGTATAATCCACTTCAACTGTGCAACTTTTTATGGGAAAGACACGATTGAAAATCTATTTTTGACATTGGCCTTGGACTAAAGTGGTAAATGTTAGGTATAATAATAAGTTTGCCAATTCTGGTATTTGTTACTAACATTGGAAAGGCTAATTACAGTAATTTTTACAGTCAATTATTATGCTCAAGAAAATAAAGTCTAACATAGAGAGTGGGTTTTTTTATGTTGGAAATGTTCTCCTTGAATGATTCATCAAAACAAAAATCTCAAAATAATTTCATTTGAATAAATCGTATTTATATTTGTGCATTGAAAAACTATTAGCACGTGATTGTCACTGTATGTTTTTTAACAATTTAATAAAAACATCTTATCAAAACACTATCTAATAGGTGTAATTGTTTCAGTCTTGGGGCACCTATGATTTGATTAGGCCATAACTGGCAGGGTGTATGCCAACTCCAAAGTCCAAATATAGGGCGACAAGCATTAGGTGTTCATGGTTTTGAGCTTAATGCTTGTCACAATGTCACTTAAAGCCTTGGGCTAGTTAAATGTGAGTTTACACACAATCTATATGCTCGCTCTCCTTTAGTTCTATCTAGTGAATTCTCCTGTGTGGAATTTTTTGAGGATTACATTATATTCTGAATAAATAACCATTTCAGTCAGATATTTCAGCTTGAATTCCTAATGATTTGATTTGAATTGTTTTATTAGAAGAATTAATTGCATGCGATAATTTATTTGTCAATGAAACACTAACGTGTTGCTTGTCTTTTTTCTATTATAGTAGGTAGTAATTTTCGCTAAATGATAACTTAAACAAATCACGGTTATTGATTCCAAATAAATGCAACGTCATAGTTTTTTATTTACATAATTGGTCCATTATTTATGCAATCAGGACTTTACATAGGACATGTTTTGTAGTTTGTCATTTGTTAATTACCAAGATTACTGTAGGTTATTTATGAAATTTCATAGTATGAGAGAAGAAAATTGAATTATATTTTTTAGGCTTTTTGGTGGAGGCTACAATGGTTATTTTGGAATATTTATATGAATGTAAGGTTTATGAGACTGGTGTGATTTGGACAAGCATGTAGTTTGTCCTTGTTATACACCAGTCATGAACCCTAAGTTCAAGTTTTGACAGAAAGTACCAGCATTAATATTCATTAGGCCATAAAATTTAGAGGCAAAGAAATGGAAAGAAACAAAAATTCTGCACGACTTTGAAAGCGAAGAACCAATACAGTTGAAGATTGAAATGTGCCATCTCTCACAAGAAACCAAAGCAGGTCAACAACAGCAAACAAATGCTTTTGAGATAAAATTGTTATGAGAATACTGGTAATGTGAATCCATGCCAACAGGATCTTAAATCATTGAAGAACAGAACAATTAAAACTAGAACATCCAAGAGCCAAGGAATAGCATGATCCAAAAGTAGGACTGTAAGAGCACGCACATGTCAATGCAATATATGTAAAAAAATTAAGATCCCAAGCCCATGCAATGAGTACCCGATGCATCTTGCTTGCAAATTGCAATGCTGTATGCATTAAAGATAACATGGGTATACAACCAAAACTCAAGGTGCATGATTCAAAACTAGAAACACGAGCATGTCACTCAAAAATTAAGATCCCATGCCCATGCAGCTTGTACTAAATGTATCCTACTAATTGAAATGCCTTGTGCATTAAAGATAATATGGGTATACATGTCAAATGTCTCAGGTGTCACTCAAAATCAACGTTATGACAAATAACTATTCTTATCATAGTTAAGGAAATCTAGAAATGATGATTTTATACCACAAACAAGGAGGCCCATTAAATGACTTATAGATTGGGAATGTTAAAGAACTAAAACCAACTTTTATCCCTATAAATGGATAAATATTATCTTGTCAAGTACACTTTTCCAGACATGCAAATACATTTTGCTTCATATGTTCAAATGAGAAATTTCTAAAACCAAAATACCTGTTCCATGTGACCTTGAGGGAAGTAATAAACTCGCTCCCCTTCACGTGGAAGAGTGACAAGGGGACCAGCACTGGCATGCCACAATTCCTTGCATAAATCATCATTGGTTGCCCCTATAAAATGAAACATGACAAAATATGAAGTGCACAATAACTTAAAAGTGCACGTGAAATCTACATTAAACACAAAAAACCTTGTAACGTTGATAACTTAATCTCACCAAGCAAAAAAGCAGCTACATGTGCCAAAAAAAACATCTGCAAAATTTAAGATATATTCCCCAGCAACACAGAAAATAGCTTATATAGATGGGAGAAAGACACAATGCTTCTGTTTCTAAGAATAAGAAATGTTACATTCTGCTAACCAACCATTGAGTGGGTTTAGAAGGTTCTAGATGATACCATTATAATCCAAGCTCTAGATTCTATCCTTTTAAGTGCTAGCCGCAGCTAGCAGCATGTATATTTTTTACAGAATCTATTATTACCTCATATCAAAAATGAATGATATTTAACAGGTACTAGCAGTAACAATCTCTAAATTGGCTCTCAGCTAGAGGCTTCAAGTACAAGTGAAAGCAGGGTCAAAATTTACAATAACAAAAATTAAGTATCATACGAGTCAGCAATAGTGAAAGCCACAGGCAGCAATCCAAGCTGAGTAAGCACGTGATAGATACCCATATATTCTTGTGTAGTTTCATGAATTACATTCCTAACACGGTGCTTTTAAATTTTAATTGTCCAACAATCATCGCTCAGGTCATTTATTACAACTATGTTTTATTCCCCCCGCCCCCGCCCCCTCCACAAAAAAACAAAAAAAGAGCAACACAAGATTAGTAGCGATAAACGATGTCAGAAAGGATTGCATGAAACCTGCATGAATTCCGCCAGATTTGTGATTTGAAGTAGTAAATGCCATTGAGAGAAGCGCGCAAATAAGGTCGAAGTGAGGAGAGAATGTAGGATAAGTTGGAGTCCAACTTGTGTTCTGCTCCAGGAGAAAATAAAAATGGCATCAGTTTTGGTACCAATTGAGTAAAGAGGTTTGTGACCTAACCTAAACGAAGCAAAGAAAGTTGAATTGTTTGTGAATTGCAAAAACTAGATGATGATGACGATGATGGTCGTACATTGAAGTGATGAAGACAAATAGTCGTCCCTGGACCTGGATCCAATTCCAGAAAGGGAAAAAAAAAACAGTGAATATAAAATTGATGAGACTGGGCATTTCCCTAATTCGCACACAAACACAATAAAAACAGAATCAGATTTAAAATCGGGGCAAGCCGCAAGAACATAGTATAATATAAGGTGTAGATCAATGAAACTCACAGACTGTTTGGATCAATTGATACGGTGGCGTTTGGTTGAGGTTCTTTGTTGAGTTGCTTGTTTCTACACTGAATTTGCAATTGCAGCAGAAAGAGTGCGCAGTGCGCTATCGAGGGAGAGAGAGAAAACTAAAACAGACAGAAACAGCGATACAATGCGTGCCCTCAAACCCCTACAGGTTCCCCCACTGTCCCACGCCCATCAAGCATATGACATTCAACTCACTATTCTTTTCCTATTTTTTTATTTAGTATATCCATTTTTTATTTTTTTTTGGAATCCCTTTTAAATTAGATGCCAATTTAGTAAAGACAAATGATTTCTCGCTTTTAAATTACGCTTTATCGCCTTCATTTCCTCTTTTGCTGCGTTGACTACCACTTTAACCATTTTCACCCTTCTCATTTTACATTTTTTTCCTTATTAACATAATGTGTCCATCCCTTGTGCTATCATGTTTTTTTTTTCTTCTTCTTATTAACATTAACATGTCTAATATCTTTTTTTTTTCATATCTCTTACATTTTTCTATTATGGTTATAAGACACGTTAAAACTAATATTAATCTCTAATTTAATGAATAAGAGATTAAAGATATTTATAACAAAATAAAAAAAAAATCAAAAATCAATTTTGATAATAGTACAAATTAAGTTAAAGGTCTTTACATGAAATTTTCTTACAAGTGTTTACTTTTATGTACAAGTTTAACATATTGTCCACTAATAAACAAATAAATAGTAACTTTTATTTTTTTATTTAAATTATTTATAATTACTAAAAAGTCTTTTTTGTAATCCAACTTTTTCATCAATAACTTTATTATATAATACTCGTTTGTCATCCTCTTCCTTGATATCATCACTAGTGTTATTATCTTCATCTTCGACTTCACTATTAACATTGTTATTCTCATTTTCTTCCTCGACATTACTATCGTTATTGTCCTTATCTTTAACTTCACCATCGTCATCATTCTCTTCCTCAACTTCACAATTGACGTGGTTGTCTTATTCTTTGATCTCACCATCAGTGTTGTCAACGATCCCTGTCATCATAAACAAAAATAACATTTTTAGAGTTTTGTTTGGTTTAATTTTATGTTTCATTCGAGACCTTTCAATATCCATAAATATGTCAAGGTGATGTGTTGTGAAGGTAAGTGAAGAAAACAATGTGGTGGAGAGGTGGTGTATGGGTTGGAAGAGGAGGTGATATTGTGTGGAGGTCAAAAGAGGAGGTAGTGTGAAGGCCATGTAGAAGTTGGAGAAAGAGGCATGGCAAAGGTTGAACGAGGAAGACAATGACAAAGACATGACAGAGGTTGAAGGAAGAGGCACCGTATGTATGCAAAGAGGTGATTGATGTTATTCATACCAAAGGATAAAAATAACATTTTGACTTTTAATATAATTTTTTAATTATCATATTATCAAAATAATCAGGATAATTTACACTATTCATCACATCCAATAGTGATAATAAAGTGACTCACCTACAAAACAAAAATGGTGTAGCTTAGCCTATATCTCTATGAAGATTATGATGATGATGAATTCAATTCTTTATTTTTTTTAAGGTTTCCACAAAGAGCATCAAACATCTTCTTACATAGGAAAATGTCTTTTCAAATAGTATTTTCAAAATTAGTATCACAAATATTCAAGTTCTTTGAGTTTCAAACGTGAAAAATGATATAGAGTTTTTTGACAAAAATAATCGATTATTTCTATGTATAATCAATTATTTTGTTTTTCGCATTTATGAAAATCTACCAATAATAGTTTAATCGATTATTTTTCAAGATAATTGATTAGTTTAGATGGTTGTTTATGAAATAATCAATTATTTCACTAAATAATCATTTATTACAATAATACTTCTTAGATTTTGAAAAATAGAATGAATAATTAATTATTTTAAGTGATAATTGACTATTTTGAATAAAAACTCAATACTTCAATTTTTCAAACTATATCTCTTTTTAAATCATTTTTAAAACTTATTTTCATTATCAAACATCATCTATATGAAGATTTAAAGCTAAAATTATTATATAAAAAAAAACACACACACACACACAAAGAAAACATGCAACAAAGCATAAACATATAACAATATACAATTTACACTACTACCATTCGAGAGACTTATATTTGTAATCATCAAAATTAAATACAATAACATGAGTTCATCTTGAGCTTAGTCAACAATATGTGTTTGGATCAAATTCATTATTTTTGTTTTTGCTTATAAATATTTGAATCCATGCATGTTATTAAATCATTAACATGTTCATAGTAGAGTTATGTTTCTATATATCTTGTAATTTTTATTATTTCTTATTTTCTTGATTTTTTTGTGATTCAATTTGATTTCTAACTTTTGTGGATCTTTTCACCAAATTTTGAATCATTTTGAATTTGTCTACTTCTAAATATTTTACAATTTTGAGTTTCGTGTCTTGACACTTTTTTTTACAAAATATAGCAACTAAATTAAAGTAGTCACAAAATAACTCTAAAAGAAAAAAAAGTATAGAAAAAAAAAAGAAAGAAAAAGGAAATAGAAAAAATATAAGAAAAAAAGAAAAATATTTGTGATATAAAAAAACATGTGGACCTTTTTGTGAAAAACATTTAAAAAAACATTTGTTACATTTCATTTTATTTAAATTTACAATTAATTTGGAAGTGGTTTTTATATTATAATTTTCAAATTGTACCTTGATTTTTGTTTGTCTATTTCTTGTAACTCTTTGAGTTTTGTCACAACTAATATCTCTTGAGTTTAGCCTACTTTTAATTGTATTTTTATTGTTTGTCTTCTAAAATTTCCTCTAGTGTTATTTTGGTGTGCAAATTCTTTGTGAAGGTGATCAAGACACTTGTCACAAGATTGCATCTTGAAATATTGATAAGGACCTGGGAGGATTTGCTCCTTGGTTGATGTTAACTTTTGGAAGACCTTGAAGACCATGGAAATGAGTGAAATACTATAAGCATTTCTTACACTAATGAGTTTGCTCATTGTGTAAGAGAAGACTTGAAGACTTGTTTACCTTTGTTTTGTTCTCAATTTTAGTCTTTTTAATTATTGTCCTATAAAGGTCTTTTGCTTGGATGTGATTTTGAGAAATTTGAAGTGCTTACTCAAAACATTCAATTCGTTTAAGTTTTTTTAGTAATTTTCATTAGTGCTTGTGAAAATGTTTTAGGAAACTCACAAGTGCTCATATAAGTTTTCACATAGGAACACGTCTAATTACATTCCTTTACTTTTTATTTCACTTCCTTTATTTTCTTTCCATGTGTTGGAGTGTTTAAGCAGTTTCAAAAACTTCTTTAAACACATTGGGTTGCATATTTCATTTAGCTTAGGAAAGGCTTTTTTCTAACAAGTGCATCATGCCTAATAACACTTAACACACTTCTAAGAGTGGTAGTGACTCTAGTTCAGCTCTAAACCTTGAAAAACTCATGGGTGAACTAAAGACACTTAAGCTTTGGAGAAAAAAAGATACATTAGAAAAAAAACGAAAAAAAAAAGAAGATAAAGGTGGAAGAGATAGAAGTGCTCCTAGAGCGTGAGATTAAGGAGTTTAGATAATAATAAAACCTCATAAAAAAAAAAAAAAAACAAGAAAAGACAAGCTAGTACTTCACATAGTAGTGGCTCTACCAAGTGTCATACTTTGACTCATCATAAGGATAACTTATACATGAGTGAATGTTACCAACAAGAGCCTATAAATCCTAGGTCTAAAAGAGAGCATAAAATAAGGAAATCTAAAGTGGATCTCCCTCACTTCCATGGGAATGATGACGTAGATACTTACTTGAATTGGGAAATGAAAGTGGAACAACTTTTTGTTTGTCACAAAGTGAGTGAGGAGAAAAAAGTTCCACTAGTAACCTTTAGCTTTAAAGGGTAGGTTATGTATTGGTGAATCTATCTATAGACTAGTAATCTATTTTTTATTGAGCATCTTCATTCTTTTTAGATGGATGTTATTGTGAACCACTTGTATAGTGCACCATTTTGGAGTCGTTAAATTCATCTAGTTTTCACAATAATATAGTGCACACGTTGTATATGATTTTTTTTCGTTGCTCCTCAACTACTTGGTCCCTTTGTCTGCACCCAAATATTTTTTCTTCCTTTTCCAAATACCTTTTCTTTTGTCTTTCATATTCCTCATCGTCCTTCACCACTCTTGCACAATCTCACTCATTCATTTGAGTTTACAATAGTTTAAATTACCAAAGCAAATATGTGGTTACAATTGCAAACATTGTGTGTTAAAATAAATCAACTCATTATAACTAAATGATATTTGATATAGTCTCACACATGCCTTGTCTAGTATGTTTACTTCCTTTCCTCTTTGTTGAGTAGTAACATCCTGGACATATTGGAATGAAAAGAATTTAAAGACTATACATGTGTGAGATTGTATGGTTAAAAATGACTTAAAATGATTAATTTGTATTGTTTATACTAACAAGACATGTCTGATTTTTAATAGCTATCACTTAATAATTTTACAATTAAACGTGTTTGATTTTGAGAGATTTTGGAATGAGTGACCTTTCAAAAGTTGTGTGAGTGAGAACAAAACACATTAATAAGTTTTATGTTACTTTCCGTTGATCTTAATTAAAGGTGGTTAAACATTTTAAAACTGATTACTTACATAGGACTTTAATCAATGAAAGATTATGACTAATAAAAAATTATGTAAAATGCCATTATGTAAAATGTGATGTAGTGGAATCGTTGACACAACAATTTTGAAAGATGTCGCACTAGTTGCACGCCATCTCTACTAGCAACAACACACTTGTCGAGTTTTGGGACGTTGCTAAGGATATTCGCACTTAATAAAAATTAGAAGTGGCAAAACGGGTCAGGCCGATCTGTTTTGGCTCGACTCGCTAATGACCCACCAAAAACGGGTCGGGCCGACTCGTCAATGAAAAACGGGTTGAGAATGTTGGCTTGTCCCGTCTAAGGACGGGTTGGTGGGTTGACGAGCCAGCCCGCATACCACAAAAAAATTGCAAAAAAATGGAAAAAAAAATATATTTTATATTCAAATAAAAAAAAATTGCTATAGATAAATAAATATAATCATATAAAATTAAAAAAACATACATATTGTACATAATATATGTTCAACAAAAGTAAATTACAAACTTAGATCAAAATCAAATAGAAATTAGTCCACTTACACCAAAATCAAAACCAAATTATAAACTTACAAATTACTAATAATATAAATTTTTTGATAGTCCACAAAACAAGTCCATTACTTATGCAAGCAATTGAAGCCCAATTACATATGCAGGTTGGCGGGTTGTGACGGGTCAGCCTGCTATTTGGCCCGACGGGTTGGCGGGTTGAAATGATGGGCTCAACCCACCAATTTTTGGCAGGTCAACGGGCCGGCCCGCAGGTCACAACTCACTTTGCCATCCCTATGTAGGACATGTAAGGTAAGAATTGTTATCTACTTATATACTCTTTAATTATTTTATCTATAGTTGATGTGAGACTTGAGTTGCTTCTTCATTTTTTTAATTGTCTTATCTCCTAAGAGATGTACGACTTGTAAGATGAGAGTTGTTTTCTATTTACATACTCTTTAATTATTTTATCTATAGTCGATGTGAGACTTAAGTTTTTCCTAATAAATAATTATCGTTCATATTAAATTTTGGTGTGATGTAAATATATTTTTAATGACTATTATATATTAGTCATTAATATTTTTATTAGATAATAAAGTAGAGATAATTAATTTATTATCATTAAATAATTATCAATAATAATACATTTTGTTATAGTAGGATCAACTTGATGTGGGTTGACGAGCCAGCCCGCATACCACAAAAAAATTGCAAAAAAATGGAAAAAAAAATATATTTTATATTCAAATAAAAAAAAATTGCTATAGATAAATAAATATAATCATATAAAATTAAAAAAACATACATATTGTACATAATATATGTTCAACAAAAGTAAATTACAAACTTAGATCAAAATCAAATAGAAATTAGTCCACTTACACCAAAATCAAAACCAAATTATAAACTTACAAATTACTAATAATCATTTTTTGATAGTCCACAAAACAAGTTCATTATTTATGAAATAATTGAAGTCCAATTACTTATGCGAGTTGGTGGGTTGTGACGGGCTAACCCGCCATTTGACCTGACAGATTAGCGGATTTGACGGGTTGAAATGATGGGTCCAGCTCGCGAGTCACAACCCACTTTGCCATTCCTAGTAAAAATCCATGCATAGAATTGTGGATTATGCCACCCATGTAATTGTTGGTGTCAATCATTCTTGCGACGCATCATTAGTAGTGTCAGAGTCGATGACAACATCAACAAGAAAAGAATAACAAGAGGGATCGTTGGTTGTAACATGAGCAGTGATCAACGAAAAAGGTTGTTGGGTAGATAGTTGGGGAGGAATAATCAAATGTAGGGAATGTAAGATATAACCTAAGAGCTGAGATTAATGTGTAGGTTAAAAGTTATGCAAGTTCCTAATCTTTATCTTATTTTTTTTTCAAGAAAAATAATGAGAACTTAAAAGTGGAAAATTCATTTATATTAAGCATCTTCTTTGTTTTATAACACATGTTTTATAAATTTTTATATCAAATTTGTATATTTTTGAAATGTCTATCTTTCTCAAATTTTAATGAACTAAAAATCCTTATATTGATACTAAACATTACAAATTAATGAAAATCTCAATGTCTTCTTAAATTTTGAGAACTAAAATTATTATTTTTATTGGTTCTACCCAAACAATACTAATTTAGAGGAATAGTTTGAATATAAGTTTAAAAACGTTTTTGAGGGATTATGTACATAAAAATATATTTTTTTATTTTTAATAAAGAAATTATAAATTATTTTTTTATAATTTGGATACAATTAGATTCTAAATGATGTGAAAATCTCCACGCTACTACATTTTGATTGATGTTCATATAAGATCTACACTAATCACATGATGCTTCTCTAAGCCTGATCTGTCTAATGTATTTTAAACATTGTCCATTTTTGGATTTTCTTGGTGTGTTATATTCTTAATTTTTTTTTCTTCTGAAATTGGTTGACTTGCCACCTATGGCAAAAGGCTATGGCAAAAGGACATTTAACTAGCTAGGTCCACGTATGGCCCTAAGGCCAATTAAGGTTTCTAATGAGTCCTTAATGTTTTTTTTTCCTGCTAAAAACTAGTATAAAAAGGACTTCACTTTTAAGTATGACTTTAACCATTCATTTTTCTCTTCCATTCCTAATTAACTTAAGCACGTCCTTTCAAAGTTTCAAGTGCACCACCACCAAAATTTGCATCGCACCATCGTGATTTCCCTCATAAAAGCTCTCTATTACAAATTTACAATGTTCTTGAATATCTTGACCTCTTCGTACAACAAAAATAATGTTCGATTATTCTATATAATTTTTTAAAAGCAAGGACTAATGTGAAATAAACAAAAAAATTACTATGGTAACAATGAATCTAATTTCTTCATTTTGTTTTCATCGTTAATTTTATTATAATCAATAACTATTTTTACACTTACCAAAATATAAAAGGAAAATAATTGACCAAAATGCTTTGATATATAATTTAATCATTGATTTCAAGGGGAAAAAGGCCCACGATATCAAATAAAATTATATCAAAAAAATTAATTTTAATTCGAAACACTATCTAATAATAAAAACTTAAAAATTATTCATCTACACCGTTTTCTTATTAGCGTATATATCTTATAAATGTAGATATTTTTAAACACGGTATTTTTCGTTAAACTAAACATATATTACTAACATAGGCAAACGATATTGAGTAAGCAAGAAAAGAAAATAGAAATAAATCAATAAACTCATATATTTATTTTATCGATTAATGTAAGTAATATTGAGTAATTAATCTTTTGTGATTTAAAATACGTAATTATTGTAATCATAATACTCCAAAGCGTTTACTGCATTGAATCATGGGGAAATGATACCTTGAATGATTCGCATACAAAAATTAAAATGAAAACAACAAACATGGCGTCGCCCGGACTCGAACCGGAGACCTTCAGTGTGTTAGACTGACGTGATAACCAACTACACCACGACACCAAGTTGTTCTCATTGCCCCTGGAAAAAGAATTCAATGTATAAATTGTTTACCAGTTTTGCTTCCTAGAGATTGCGCCTTCTGGCTGATTTTGGGGTTTCAATTTCAAATAGAATTTTGGGAAGGGAAGGGAAAGTAAGGAGGGAAGGAGAATGATACTTAGAACTCCACCGCCACCGAAGAGGCCACGCGCCGACGCCGACGCCAATCAACAGCTGGCCATCTATGAGGACCCGCCGGAGTCATCTCAGGAACCCTCGGCTTCCGACCACATGCTCTGCACCTATCAGTGTCGCCAAATGGTTTCTATTCTTTTGCTTCTCAATCCATTTCATTCAATAATTAACAAATGTTTATGTTTAAGCTTACACTGCAATACATCACAATCAAATGCTCCTCTCCCTCTCTGGATTACTCAACATTATTTAATCTAAAGTTTATTCTTCTAACGCCTAATTTTCTGCAGGTCAAGTCGGATTTTATTGATGCCTTAAGCAGAGCTGAAAGTCAAGCTCGTGATTATCAATCTAGACTGGAGACATTGGAGGATAATTTCCACAAAGTTGGTTTGTATACGCTACTCCAAGTGTCTTTTCATTTCAATCTTCTCCGACACCTTTTTCATTTTAATTTATATCCTCATGATTATTTTCCCCTTTTCTGTACATCATTTTCATATATCCTCTGTTTTGTGCCTCCTTTTCACTGTCAACTTGTTACAGAATCTGAGAGGAACAAATTTCTGGACCAATTCCTATACGCCGAGCAGGAACTTGCAGCTGCCAAAGGGCGCGAAAAGGCACTCCAAGACCAACTTAAGAAGGAGGTTACTGAGTCTCAAGAACGATTTAGAAAACAAATCCAATTGAACAGTGAACTCCAGGTTTTTTTTTTCTGCTTTAGTTCTTCTAGATGACAAATAATCCATAGTTATTATAATCTTACAATTCACTATTTGAATCGTATGATTCAATACGATTTGGCTGCCTATTGGTTTGTATTATAAGATAAATCTCAAATGACTTTAAATCTTACAATACATGAATGGATTAGTGCAATATCATATCATCGATATAACTAATAATTTTGTTTTGAGGCTTAAGGTTAAGTTGTTTTGGCTATTTCTATTTGAAGTCATTTTTCATTGTCTTTGAATCTTACAATTCAACTCGAATTATGATTCAGGATTCAAAAATTAGCTTGGTGATTCATGATATAAACCCGATTTGATTATCTTGCAAATTAACATTTTTTTACCAATATGCATACTTAAGTTGGAGATTGAGTTATGCATAATTATTAATTAATTCATTTTTCTAGAGTTTTGCCTTCAATACTATTTCTACGTAGCATATTTTCTTTGAATTGTTGGTCTGGTGTGGTATGGTGATAGCATCTAATGTTATCTTTTCGAACTCACTGTTGAAGCTTGTTATTCCCCCCCCTCTGCTGTGCTTCATTTTCAGACAGATTTAACTCTCTTCCAACTGGAATTTAGGTTAAGCTCCAAAATGAGACAAACCTTCGCATAAAAGCTGAGTCTCATGCTGCTTCAGCAGAGGAGAAAGCAACGTCTTTAGAAGGAAAGCTAGGCCATCTCTCAGAAGGTACAGAGAGGGAGAAAAAGCGACTTCATGATGAGCTTTCACTGCTGAAAAGCGACTCAAAGTTATCTATTTCTAGAATATCTGCAAATGTAAGTGGCTTTATATGTTGTTCAGACTAAAATCCATTTACAGGAATGAGTTAATTTTTGAGCTGTGTTGTTCTTGTTGTAGCTTGAACAAATGGAATACCGAGCTAATAATGCTGAGAGAGAAGCAGAGCTGCTAAAGGAACAACTGAAACATCTCAGGGATCAACTTAATGAGGTTTGGGTGTCTAATTAGCTGCTTGTTGAATTTTTTTGGTCCTTAAGAATGTCCTGTGAACAAAACTATTGTTGCACTATGAAATGAGATTTGATTTGGTGTTAAGCCTCTGCTGAAATTCATGTGGACCTTTCTGGTATATTGATGAATTGTGAGTTAACAGTAGGGTTATTGACTTGTGATTGCATTACATCATGATTACTGTTTCCAGTGTTTGCACCAGAAGACTGAAGTTGAAAAAAAAGTATCTATTTTAATGTTTCAAGAAGGTGCTTCTACAGAGAGTAATGTTTTAGTTAAACATTTGCAAGAAGAACTTCGGAACTATGTAAGTTTGTTTTCTTTTTATCTTGAATCTCAACGTTTCTTTTTATTGGGATTGTAGTAATGTGAGGATACTTGATGTATGACTGGGGACTAATTTTGGTAGTTACTCAACTAGCATAATCATAAGTGGAGAGGAATCATGTCATTATTTTATTGAATGTTCTGGATATATAGGGAAAATATTGGGTAGGCCTGGCCACTGATTTGAGTCTCCTTTATTTTAAAATCTTCTGGGAATTGGGATGTTTATGGATTGGTTCCAAAAGTCTCATGTTTGCATTTTTCCTTTACAATTTATTCTCTCTTTTTTATTTAAAATTTAGTAAATATAATTTAATCTGACATCCTATTTTTAGAAATAATACAAAGATATATTTGTAATATTATAACTTCATTAATTTTTATATTTTTTTAAGGTTATGCTGTCATGTAAGTTATCATTTGTAGCCTTCCCTTTGCTGGTATTTTAATGAGTTGTAACTTGAATTTACAGCAAGCATATGTTAACTAATTCATTATTGTGAATGAACATGGTATCCATTGGATTGGTGTTTTTACTTGGTGTTTTTTTCAAAGAAGAATGTTAACAGTACATTCTCTAATGCACTCTTTTCAACACATTCTTTATGATAAGGTGAAATAAATGTGGCATCCACTAAATAGAGAATGGGAACCACCAAATGGGAAGTTAGACCCACTCCAGTCCCACACATGAATTTCACCCAAGCATTGTGTGTTGTGAAAACTTTTTTGCTAGCATTTATCTTTTATAAAATTATGAACTTGGAGAAAAAGTTAAATTCATTTGTGAACTTGGACACAAATTTGGCCTGAATGCTGCATCTATTACATAGCATGAGTTTATACCTGCTTGATCTGGCTTCTGATCTTGCATAATATATGCATTAACCATAATTAATGGTTTTGGGGGTATTCCTATGATTATCAGAACAGAAACACAAGCATTTTAAGCGTGATGTGGAATTTTTTTATGCTTTTGAAGGATGCAATATTTTGATTTTTCATTTCTTTTGTGCTTTTGTCTAGGAAAATGGCTTACCTGTGCTGGGTGCCTTTCATTTCTTTTCTTTTTTTTTGGTTAATTCTTAAAATTTTTAATTTCAAATTATAAGACCAAATTAATATATTTTTTGGCTCTCTTGTGCGCTAGGAAATTACCAGATGACTTTTCATTGCAAATTTGTTCACCACAGTAATCTGAATATTGTATCCTGTTTCAATTGACATTTTAGGAATCTGAAGTAAGGGAAGCAAGAAAACTAAGATCAAGTCATGAGAACATTGAGCTTTTGAAGGAGAAATTGTTGGAGGAAAAGAGTCACCGAGAAAGGGCAGAATCGGAGCTATTCAAGTTACAAGATGTGCAATTGAATATGAAAAAGTTAGAGGATCAAATAACATCGTGGAGAATTATGATTAAAGACATACCTGGTGTCTCATGTTTTGAGGACTTGCCTGATAAATTTGCAGCTTTACAGAAGTATGTGGGTAGCTCTTTTGTGTGTGTGGTTATACTAATAATAGATATGAGCTTTTAGAGGCATTAACAAGACTAATAATTCTAGAATATTCTTTATATTTTATTTTGGGTAGATCTGGTCTTCTTTAATCTTTTTGTTTATGAGCACCTTGGGGCCATGAAATTTCTTAAATGATGTCCAATTAGCCTCCTAGTTAAACTTTTTTTTTTTTTTTTTAATATTCAATTGGTCAATATTCCCTATGACACAACATTTTTCTTTATTTTGTCATACAATTGGCACCACTGTGCTTAAAAATGCTGATGGAGAGAGTAGTACCTGTGCTGATGTGTGTGAACAGGGACGGAGCCAGGATTTCAATACTGGGGGGCCGAGAATAAATAATATATAATTTATAATAAATGAAAATTAAAGTCCAAAAGTGATACCACATAGCAGGCCGTACCAGAAGTCCAAAAGTTGAATAAAAAAATAAATTTGGGTTATTCATTTAATTATACATATGAGTTTATATTAAAAATAGGGGGTGCCATATAGTAATATATATGTATATAAAAAAAAATTAAAATTGTTGGGGGGGCCGTGGCACCCGTAGGTCCCCCCTTGGCTCCGTCCTTGGGTGTGAAGTCTTGTGTATTCTTCTATATGCATGATAATATCCATTTCTGTTGTGGCATATTTCCGTATGCAAGTGACCCACAATGTAATGGATATGTGAAAGAAAGACCTTGGATCTCTTTGCATTTAGATTGCTCTCCAGCAGTTTTTTCTGATGTAGTAAAAAAATAGAGTTTGCTATGCTGCTTTGCATGGTTAGTATATGCCTATTGTCTTATGATCTTGATATCTTCTATCATTGCAGAGAGGTCATTTACAACACACAGAAGGAGGGTGAGATAACTGCTCGCTTGAAACAACTGGAGGTGGCTCTGGATGCTGCTGAGATCGGTAAACAAAATGCTGAAGCTGAGGTTGTGATGGCTAAAGAGAAAGCAGGAGTATTAAAATCAGAAATCAAACAAATTGAATTAATGGTCAGTGTTTGATATTTGATTAGGATGTTGTTACGGTTATGGCACTCTGATAATTACTGAATTGATTAATGCTGTTGTTACGAAGCTTTGGTCAGTGTTAGGCTATTACTTATTCTTTACTCATGCATTAGTTCCAGGCTAGTGTACAACATGCATTTATATGACAGATGAAGCAATACTGATAAAGACTTCTTGATATGATCTAATTTGGCTATCAGTTATGGCTTTCAGATATTTCGATGCCCCCAGTGAAAAAATAGGATTTGGAACCTGTAGTTAGAACATAGATTATAGGTAAGGAGTTTGACAGTAGGTGAATTTATGGTATATTTTGAAAAGATTTTAAAAGACTATATTGACATAAAGAAGTCTTGTAAATTTTAAAAGACTATCTAAGAATGTAATGACTTATAAAGTAGAGATAAATAAAATATTTCAAAAATAAAAATTATTTAATTTTTAAAGCATTCTTTTATGGATGGATTAGATATCCATCAATGAAAAAATTGTTAGTGGATGGATTAGATGGATTTTTTGCTTTAAATGGATTGAATGGATTAAATTTTTAATAGGTTTAAATAGATTAATGGATTATTTTTATCCGACTCATTATGATTTGCCTAAAAAATTATCCGATCCATTATAATCCGCCTAAAGAATTATCCAATCCATTCATTTACCACTCCTAGAATATAACAAGATGCATATATCCTGCTTCCAATTGCAACTGACACTAAAAAAACTATGAATCACTTAAGCAAACATCTCAAGTTGTATAATCTACAGATTAAACACTGATGTGAGGTTTCCTGCAGCCTTCATCTTTTAGCTCCATGCTTCATGTGCAAAATATACTGATTGCTTTTGAAGTCATCTTCAGTATTATTTGGGCAGTTTGATGTAAACACAGATTTTGTATATTTGTAAACAAAACATACCTATAAAATGAAGCATTTAAATGAGTTTAAGATTTGAAGGCTTTTGCCTTGAATTTATATAGCTGGGAGGGCTAACAAGTATCAAAATATCCAATTCTCCAGCTTCATAATTTTTAATGCTTTTGGACAGAGCGTAGAATAATGGTTTTATCTATTTATTTTGTGATTATTAGTATTTGACAGCTGGCTCAGAATTATAGAAAGAAAACTGCCTAACTTGCAGATCTTCAAGGGTCTGCACCTTCCAATGCCCAAAGGCCATATTGCTCTAACAAATGACGATATAATCCTCTCTTTCTACCTCTCCTCTTATTTATTGACAATCTGCTTTATTTTTTTTCTATCTCAGCCCAACAAACTAACAGATATCAACATTTAACTGTATTCCACAGTTTTACCTCCTTTGTAACAAAATTTGAGATGTAACTAGAATATGCTATTTTTTGTTGCTACATTTTACCCCATTTTCTGTGTTGGGTTTAAGAACTTATGTAAACATTGTATTATAATATTGACTAAACTTCTTGGCAATCTATTCATAATAACTTTAAGTAACTGCTGTATGACAGTGATCTTACTGTGGATAGCTATGTTCTGAAATTTGTAATCATTTGTTTGCCATTATTTTTGGTTATGTGCCTTAGAATTTAGACTACATATTAATTGTCTTGCAGCTTGCTGTTGTTACGGAGGAAAGAAATAAATTAAGAAATGTTTCCAATTTGAAGAATGATGAAGCTCTGGATGCTTCAAAAAATGCAAATTCTGTTCAGGTTGCATTCCCTTCAATTTTGTTATCATTTAACTTATCATGTGATCTCTTAATATTTTTTGCTTGTTGCTTGATTAATGCATGCAGGAAGATGAATCTTCTCTTATGAAGAAAGGTGACTGCATTAAAGAATTAGAAAGCACCTTGCATGACCAGAGAGTGGTTAATAATCGTCAATTTGAGGAAATAAAGTTACTTAATGAAAAGTTGCACAATGAAGCAAGAAGAGTGAAGTCATTGGAGAGGGAGAGTGACCGGCTCCGGTCAGAGATTTCATTATTAGAGTCAAAGGTTGGTGGCTTGGTGCTCTCTTAAAGAACAGTAGTATACTAATACATCATAAAATCATGTTTTTAATATTATGTCCTCTTTATTTCTCATGTTTGTATTACTGTTGCACTGATCATTTACCCAAGCTGCCCAAATTTTGCTTTACATTTTATTGCTTGATTGTCTATAATTGTTTTTCCTTCTATAGTTAGGTCATGGTGATTTTTCTGCTGCTAATACAAAAGTTCTGCGGATGGTGAATACACTTACTGTTGATAATGAGGCCAAACAAACCATAGAGGCACTGCAAACTGAGCTGCAAAAAACAAAAGAGAAATTAAGAGCAGTGGAAGAATTGAAGAGTCAATCAGGTATGGAACCTTGTAATTACTGTGGATGTTAAGGTTTAAATATTATGTATCAAAAAGGGTTGGTAAAAAAAGCAAGAGAGGTTTGACTGAGGAGAATGGTTTTTGGCTTTTGAAAGTGATTTGTAGTATTAAGATAAATACTGAATGGAAGAGACTAGTGTCTAGATTTTTTATTTGTTCCCATTTTCGTTTGCAGAAGTTGAGTACATATAAATATTCTGCTGGAACTGGTGGTACATAGGATAATTATAGATGAAACTAATAAAAGTCACAATGTAGCATTTTGTTGTTGTTCCACCATTGGACATATTTACTGCATATAATTCACATTTTGCTTCTCTGAGAAGGCAGTTATCAAATTTATTGATTAATGATGAAGAGTTAATCAAAATTTAAAAGATTGGATAGCATATTCTTCTTGATCACATAATTCCACGGAAAGACTTTGGCCGCTCAAAATCTTTTAAATTCTTTCTCTATTGATTTTTCTCAACTTGGAATATAATAGGAGTGACAAATAAATCCATTCAATTTATGCATTACTATAAAAATAAATAATGGATTTGATCCAATCTATCCATTTAATTTTATAGATGATTTGTGATCTATCTACTACTTTTCAAAATCCATTGGATTACAATGGGTGTTTATTGGATTGAAATTTTAAAAGACTATTTTGATATAAAAAAAAGTCTTGTAAATTTTAAAAGACTATAAAAATGTAATGACTTATAAAGAAAAAAAAAGAGAAAAAATATATTTTTAAAAAAATTATTTATTTTTTAAAACATTACTTCTATGGATGGATTGGATATCCATGAAAAAAATTGTTGATTGATGGATTGGATGGATTTTTTGTTAAATGGATTGAATTTTTATGTGAATTTATAATGGATCTAAATGGATTAATAGATTTTTTTTATTCGATCTATTATGATCTGTTTAAAAAATTATCTGATTTATCCATTACCTATCCCTAGAATATAACAAGATGCATATATCCTGCTTCCAATTGCAACTAACACTAAAAAAACTACGAATCACTTAAGCAAACATCTCAAGTTCTGTAATGTACATATTAAACACAGATGTGAGATTTCCTGCTGCTAAAACTCTAATTAAAAGTTTAGCTTAGTATACAGAAAATTTGACTGGTTGTTGGTGTGCTACCTGGGTATGGCTGGGGTAAATGAATAAAATTCTTTTACAAAGTTTTGAGCTTAAAATTACTATACTTTGTGAATTTTTTGTCCAGTATCTGTGGAACAAGTTTAGATTGCTTGGTTTGAATCAAATCTTTAGAGAATTTCCAAGGAAGCTATTCTAAGTATACAGGAGGTATGCCAAGGGGGTCGCTCTGAAAATTGCTAAAATAAAAACATAAAAAGACGAAAATAGAAAGAAAAAAAAAGCTAAATATACATTACTTTTTACGACATTAGTCTGTCCCCTGTCTTTTCAAGATGGACATCGATGGTATTGAAAATTTTTCCAAAGATGAAAGGCATGTGTTCTGGGCCTTACAGGTGCTCTATAGTTTCCGATACCTTCATATTAACCATTGGATAATAATGTTATCAGATGTATGGGTTTTCCTGATCACTTTTAAGTTCCAATTGTTTAGGGGAATCTGGAAAGCTGGTAGATAGCTACATATCGGATAAGATATTACAATTAAAAGAGCAAATTGCAACACTTGAGAAGCGAGAAGAAAGGTAAATGTTTAACTTGCTACGTTTGGTACATTATATGCTGTCTTCCCGGAATAAACTGAAATACTAAATATCAACAGATACAAGACTGTCTTTGCAGACAGAATTTCAGTCTTCCGGAGGGCATGTTGCGAGCTTTTTGGTTACAAGGTTGGTAATCGTATATACTAATCTAGTTTTACTACAATGTTTTTTGTGTAAATTGAAATTATTCTGGATTAGTACGCACTTTTACTTTGAAAATTTTGTAGTACTCTGATATAGATGTAATTTGGTATGGGAAACCTCAATGCACATTTGATTTGAATCACTGTATTTGCAAGTAATATTGCAGCATGCTTCTTGGGGAACATACAATCTCACGTAAAAGCTTTCTGTGTAATTTGACATGCTAACCAATGGTTCTGCATATAGGGTCTGTGGTTTTCTCTTTCAAAGATCAAAGAAATTGTCTATCAAGCATTTTCTAATTAATTAAGTTATTTCCAAATAGGAGAAAGCTGATAATCCATTGTATAATAATTGTATTGGCAGATTGTTATGGATGAACACCAGCGTTCAAATGGAATCCCGGTGACACGATTTACCTTGCAATCCATTTATGCACAAAGTGATGACGAGAAGCTTGAATTTGAATATGAATCAGGGAATACTAACATTTTGGTAAGATGTTTAATTTTGTATTGAATTTAATAATGGTGATTTTACTTTGTTAGATTGTATACCCCTATAATTCAGTTTGGGTTTATCATCTTCGGAACAACACAAGCCTTCCGATTGTCCAATAAAAAATCACAGGAAATATTGCAAATGTTGATGGCATGAATAAATGCTGAAAAATTTCCATTTTCTGTTTATTTTCATGGCAACAGGAAAATCATTATACATCACAGCCCGAGGTTTCTCGTCAGGTAACAAGGCTATAATAATGTAATAATTTTCAATAAATACTTAGGATCTGATCTCTTGTTCTCTGACCTCGAACATAAACATGATTGTGTGAGTGTTCTGTTTGAGCCTTGGAGTGGCTTCTTGCTTCTAGGTTTTAACAGTGAAACCATCCTTATAGGAGAGATATGTTATTCTTAGCAGCAAGTATTTTCAGCTAAAAATGTTTTCCTCGCAAATAGTGCATTTTCTGTTGCATATCATAACAAAGGAAAACATTTTGAATAATTTAGATGTTTGAACAAAAAAGAAGTTTTGCTGAAAACCATTCATTTAGTATTTTTAATTAATAATGAAAAATATCCTTTTCATATTTAATGCTCCAAAAATAAAATACTATAGAGGCGTACTAGAAGTTGACTTTCTGAAAAAAAAGCCAGACCTATTCATGAAGACAAAAAGTATTGTGTGAAAAATTTACTTCTCTTCTGAATTCTGTCATTTTTTTGATTAATCCCATTCAGCCAGCCAAGTATGACTGTATGAGAGTTTGAATACAAAAACTGAAGATGAATTTAAAAACAGAAGACTTGTGAGGAATGAGTGAATGATAATTGCCGTCATGCATGTAATTTTTTTACATATTCATGTTTCTTTTGCCAAGTATATTTATGGAACTCATACATTCACAGGTTGAGATATTCATTCGGAAGATGAATTCAATCCCTGCTTTCACTGCCAACATAACGGTGGAGTCTTTCAATAGAAGAACCCTGTCTTAAATTGAACTAACTTGTGTAGGCTGGACTGTCTAAGTGCTGATATTTTTTGCGGCAACTCAGTTATGTTGTATATATCTTGCATCTTTAACTTCGGGAATTTGGTCAGCCAGTAAGGTTGTCACGACTGGACACATTTTGTATCCTGACATATATTGGTGATGGATGGCTTGGCTTGGATTTGACAAATGTCACATTATTATTTTGTTAAATAATTGAATAGTGGGGTGGAATTTTGGGCGTGCATAATTATGGTTTATTTCTTTGTAAGGCTACATTTTTCTTGTTTCGTCATTTTGGCCGTGGTTGATATTATATTAGGTTTCTTAATTTAGTGCCTGTTTTGTTTTCCTTAATTTACGTCCCCACGGATAATATTTTTGTTTTTTTGTTTTTGTAATCAAGTTTCGCACGGATGAAAATTTGCGTGAATTCAGTCACCCCGAGACAAATGGGGTAAAGTTCGAGACAAATTTTAGTAAGTGCGGGATTAGATTGTAAATGTTATTTAAGTGATATTAAATTGAAAACGAACTTAGTGAGATCTATATCGGATGTCTTCCACATTTCTGTTGTCTTTTGTCGAGGCCATTGATTTCAGTGTGATGACTTAAATCTATTGACCATCTTTTGTTTCTTGTTTTCTTTTAGTCTAATTCCCTAGTAGTGGCGAGAGTAGCGGCGACCAATGGTGGTTCATTCTGGCAAGCTAGCCATTGTTTATGGAGTGTCTTAATCATCAACCACTTATTTAGTCCGCTTGAAATGATTGCATGAACCATGGAGGGGCCTAGGTGATTTCAGCCCAGTACTTTGCACTATGGCAAGGATCTTATTGAGCACGAATGGATATTCCATTCTAATGTGACATTTTAAAATGATGTGTCATGTGAGAAATATGTATATCTATATATATATATATATAT